GCTTGGAAGCACCTCATCCTCCTTTCGGCACGTTCGCTTCTCCTTCAAAAAGCGAGACTGCGGGGCAAGATCTGTCCACAATTCAACCTTACGCTCACCTCGCCTCTTCAGCTCTGCTGTTCCCATCAGACTTGCCCTCATCTACATCCGTTCTTCATCAGCAAGATGCAGCTCGCTCATTGCATCGCATCGCTGGCCATTGTCTTGGCCTTGGTTGTAGGCAAAGTCTCAGCCGACCCTGGAGCAGCTTGGGCAGCCGACAAGTACAGAAACTCTACCATCAAAGATCTTCGCAGTGAGTGCTTCCTTCACTTTTAGAGCGATGCGCGAAGGATGGCCTTCACGTACGCGAAGACAGAATGGGCCCCCCCGTCAACTCCACCTGACGTCGACTTCTCTGTAGAACTGCAGCACTTCGGTATAGCCGACGGGGATGCCAAGATCGTATGGCAGTACAGCTGCGCCAAAGCTCTCAAGAACATCAAGGATGGCTTGGCTTTCGCAAACCACTACAAGACGAGCCATACGGATCGTGCCGATCAGCCCGCCGCTGGTTATGGCCTGGCAGTCTGCAATGTCAATCATCAGCTCGGTGGTGATAATGGCATGTGAGTGGCTTCAAAAGACTAGCCATAGAGTGATGATTTTGGTAGAATGAGCTGATTGGCCGGTGCACTTCCAACGATGACTTGCGTGCAAATTTGAAGCGCCTCGGAAGACATCACGCTTCCGGTCGCCAAGAAATTGGGTTGGGGTATCGACGACGATTGGAATTAGGTGTCACTGGGCTACTCAACCCCTCTCGGCGTGTAAAGAATGTTTGCTTGCCCAGATCCATCAACCCTGTCTTGTCTCCCCTTCACACTAGCCTCACTCAAAGCAATCACGCTCGTGATGACTCGATCGTCGTCATGAATTTGATCAAGCGTGATTGATTGAGACTCGACTGGCTCGTGATTGATCGCCTTCTCAAGCAGAATCCTCAAAGCTCCATCCAATACTCTCGAGGACTTCAGCGAGAATTGACTGCTCTGTCAGACTGCAAAATGGAGCCCGAGGCGGCTTAGATGAGACGTGCGCTTGATGTTTGGTAGGGAGGAGCAGCAGAAAATCCACTCACATCGTGCCATCTGCTTTAGTGGTGCGAAAGATACAGACGGCGGAGCCTCTGTCGTCCTGCAACCTGCTACGCCTATAATGGTTCGTATACGTTTCACCACCTTTCTGCTTGATCAGCTTGGCACAATTGTACTGAAAGACATCCTTTGCTCCTTCAGCGGCAGTGCCAGTGTGAATCACATCTGATAGTTGATCCATCAGTGGGCCGAGAGGTGTGAGCAATGCAGATGGACAGGAAGGCGTCTTGGCAAATCAAAGCCGAGCGATTGAAGTTAGACTGACCCAGCATATCAAAAGTTGGCGAATTGAGTCTTTGCATCGTGTAGATCTCGCCGATGTTGCCTGTGGCAAGGACATCAATGGGTGCCATGGCGGCAAGCACCGCAGCGATCAGAAGACTAGTCCACTGCATGATGAAGTCGATGGTGCTAAAGAGTTGCGAGGGCAGAGGAGACGCAAATTGGGAGGCAAGTGGAAAATGGCGAGGAGAGATGGTGAAGGGACGGGAGTTGTTATGTACTGCTACCAATCCCAGCGCGCTTATATAGGCATCGATGCAAGCGCTTGTCAAGAGTCGCAAGCCTTAGATACGTGATATAGCAAAAGATGTTCGGGTCACAGAGACCGAACGGAGCAGATTGCTCTTCGAAGAGTATATTGCGCGTCGCAAGGCTGCGTTGACAAGCATCAGGCGTCATATTGCCTCGCATCTCCCAACGTTCCCAAATTTTTCGGCTTCTCCAAGAGCGCTGCCGAAAGCTCTTTGAGGTCGTTGCTGTGCGGAATCATGCGGCGCCTTCCTCTAGTAAACTTGCTGCGCTCACATCGAACGCTATCATTGTAGTGTCTTGAATGTACAACGCAGATGGCATCGACAGATCTCGAATAGGGCGACGCTTTCATCACAAGTACGCCATCATCGTCAATGCAGCGTCATGCTGCAGCGCAATCACAATCGTGATGACTGCCTCGCTGTCCCTCTGTGCCGTACAATCTCGTGCCTAATGCCACGAAGCCCATTCAGCTCCTTTCGCAGGATCTATTGCAGGAGGGGACAAAGAGAAGCCCGTCAGCTTTGCTCATAGGGCACACAAGTCGAGGATCATTGAAAGCGCGCTCTGTTCTCACCTTTCCTGTAGGGCTTTTGATCAACGCTGGAACCCAACATATGTATCGTGGCTGCTTGTAGCTGAAGAGGCACGTACATCGTGGGCTCAGTTGAAGATCAGTTTGCTGGTCAAGTCGTCCACTCACTACGCCAATAGACTACTTGACCAAGCGGAGACTTGGTCTACCAGCTGTTGCTGTGTTTCTTCAGATCTCAGCACACCGGGATCTTTAGGCTGAAGATACATGATGACCACCTCCTCGTCACTGAGAAGATTTGGCTGCGAGCGCTCTCTCGCGCCGCGCTGACTGGCTCGCACCAAACGCTCCGTGGTGCCGCAGGCGGCCGCATCTGCAACGGCGGGATGTGTAGAAAAGACTACCAGCAGGTGGTTTTGGTGATTCGTCAGCAAGCGCTGTTGCCATCATGATTGGCAGAGGTAGCCGGCGAGATTGTACTCACGAGCGTCCAGCTCCACGGGTGCGACTTGGAAGCCGCTCACTTTGATGAGCTCCTTGATGCGCCCGGTGATCCAGACGTTGCCTTAGAAGCCGAACGAGCGTTAGCCAGAGGCAGGCGAACCGCGGCAATGCTACGCGAACTCACCATGCTTGTCAATGACACCTTCGTCCCCTGTCCTGTACCAACCCTCTCGAGTGAATGCGTGAGAATTTAGTTCAGCATCAAGAGCTCCTCGGTCATCTTCGTGTCCGAATCCAGAGAAATCTGCGCGCACACAACAAGGTTGTAATCTTAGCAACAGCGAGACTGAGACCACCGCACAAACTCGACTTACAGCCTAGCATGAGCCCTTCGCTCCGCACCAGTAACTCCCCGGGACCATGCCGCAGCTCAGTGGCCATTTCGGGCGCAGCCAGACCTCGTGCTCTTTTCGATGCACATTGCGCTTCCCACTCCCTTGCCGACTCTGCCTTCTGCTGAACTGATGCATCCGAGCCGTGTACCCGCGCACTGACACCCAGCGTGGGTGGACCACAGCTACCCAGAGCTAGTCGCGCTTCCGCACCGTCTAGGGAGCTAGATTGCGGACTAGACACATGACTGGTTTCAGTCGTGCCATATCCCGACCTGACAACTTTGCGTGTCTTTGCCCAGATGGAAGCAATGATGTCGGGCGCAATCGGTGCGCCGCCAGAGAACCAAGTCTTGAGATGAGGCAAGTGGATTTGCTGCATGAGCGGAGAATTGTGCATGTTGACGAGTACAGGAGGGGCGACGTGCCCTGCGGTCACTTTGTGATGCTTGAGCAAGCGCATGTATACCTCGAGAGAAAATCTGGTGCCGGGTCGAGGCAGGATGATGGTCGCACCTGCTACCAAGGCGGGAAAGAGCAAGGTGAACATGCCAAAGATGTGACACCACGGTGCCAATCCCAGCCATCTTTCTCCTGCACCCTCCGGTCCGTGTCCAGGCACACTAAAACATGTCCACGTATGCCACAAGGCTGCGGTCGAGAAGATGATCCCCCGATGTGAATGCAGCACGCCTTTGCTAGAGCCTGTGTGCAAAGCCAAGAAAGTGACAGACACTGTTAAGAAGATGTGGCTGGCTATCAGAAGCAAGTGTGCATCACGTGTACCTACCCGTCGTGCCTGAGCTCCACAGAAGAATCGCTGCCCTCCTCCTTTGCAATTCGGCATCCATTGCGCACGGAAGTGGCGGTGGCGCGGAGCCTTGCAATAGGCTTCGCCAATCTTTCGGCGACGTGCTGGTTGACAGCAATGACGCCGGAGTCGGGTAAACGTCATCGCCCTCTGTGTTCACGATGAACATTCGGCCCTCGATATCCGACGAGAAGTCGGCGGCCCACTCTCGAGCGAGCGTGTATAGTCGTGCTTCGGCAGCTTTGAGATCAGGCTTTGCCACAGGCTCTGAGTCTCCGACCAGCCTAAGAGCATCGCGCATCTTCTTCTCCCCATCTCCCTGGGTCGTGAATATGATTCGCGGGCGAGCCTTGGACAGCATGTATGCTATTTCCCTCGAAGTCAACAGAGTCGAGATTGGGCTTGCTGTCAAGCCTGCAGAAATGGTGCCTAGCAGCAATACAGCAAAGTCGAACGAGTTGGGAACGTGTATGATTGCGGTCGTCTTCGGCGAATGAATCTGCGGTGGTCAATCGCTCCGAGATTCAGCCCGGGAACCCTTGGTCATCGACCTCTCTTGTCCACTACACTCACGACACGTTTGCTCGGAAGCTCATGATCACTTGCTTCTGTGACCAGCCTGCCCAGTGTGGCGCTGAGCAGTCTCACATGCGTCTTGAAAGCGCCATAGGATAAGCTGAAACGCTTTTCGGCGTCCAAAAGAAAAGTCGTCTCATCATCGATCTCTTTGCCTTGGAAGAAGTGGTGAGGATGGGATGCCCGCTCGAATTCTGACGGCAGGTGATGACTCATCGGAGACGAGAGAAGGTAATCTGCCGCGCTGACATCCTTGGGATAGACGACTTGCGACGCTTGAGCAAGGACGGCAGTCGTCATGATGAGCGCTCCTCGACAAGTGGCGAAAAGGATGCTTGCAGGCTCGTCTGTCTGCGGTCACGACTTCCTCATAGGCGGACGGATATTGAGCATCAACTTCCTGTGTTGTATGGGGCACCGGATATGATAGTCTGGCCCAGTCCCTGGGATGATGGTCGTCTCTAATGGATAGCATCCCACTCGTCACGAGCCCGAAGACGAAAAGCATTGCCTGAAATGAAGCGGGGGCGCACAACCGTTTGCCCCTGCCACACTCGTGATCCACATTCACATTGTCCCCAGTCGTGTCTGATTCGCGCGAGATGTTCTGACGTCCTTCTTTGCCGAGTCCCTCTCCTCTGCCTTTGGAGTCTGAGGAGCAGCGGCTAAGACTTCATGATTGGATTGGAGTTCCTGATGAATTACGCGGCGCTCCACTCAACTCACGACTGAGGTTCAAGATGCGAGCCACCGTGAGAGCTCAGCACGCGGCTGACGATGCCGGTGCTTGCTAGCGCCTGGAACACTCACTCACTCACGACTCTCGTGATTGTGGGGTAAAGAAGTTGCAGCCTTTCGTACGGCTAACAGCGCGAGCCGTGACTACCGCGGCCGAGAATGATCACCAACACGTGACTCGATCGATGGATTCATGTGGGTGGATTCGAGATTTGAGGCAAGTCACGAGTTTGGGTGATGTGTGCTTCTGCTTCTGCCTGTTCCATCTCGCGCAAAACAGCTCTCCTCCACAACTCGAAGACGCAGCTTCAAGGCCATACACTCGCTCTCCACATGCCTCTTGCGCTTCTTTACGACGGCAACGACAGACGACTTCAAAATCAATCATCACGCTTGTGAGGCAGGGACGGCTCGCGCATACATTCTCACCCATCATCATGTCTGCACCACCAGCTCCAGTGCTGCGAGTGCATGCGCTGTCCAAGACGGAGCCCCTCAATCTCTTGCTGTCGCTGCGAAATTACATCAACCAGCACTTGGCTGAGCCTTTCCCCGTCGAATTTACTCCTGATGGCAGCCAGCCCGCTCATTTGGTGCTGAAGCCCGCGGGGGAGGAGGTGACCGGCACTGGAGAGATTATCAGAAAGCTTTTGGACCTCTATGCGGCCTTTGGCGTTGCAGGCAAGGATGCGCATGACAGCGGAGAGGTGTGTAAGCAGAAGAAGAAGCGCTCTCGAAGCTCAGCCAAGCATCATTCTCACAGCATGATCGCATTCTGCAGATCTCGACCTACGTCGATACGGCGGCCAAGCTGCCCACTCTGTCTTTTGCAGAGGTAGGAAGTGTGGCGGACGAATTGGACCAGCATCTCGCTTTGAGGTCCTTCTTGGTGGGCACAGGACACGCGCTTACCGCAGCAGACGTTATCATCTGGGCCAGCTTCAAGACGGGAGCAGGATTTACCGGACTCATCAAAGCCAATCAGCACAAGCACTTGGCTAGATGGGCGTCGTACATCGAGTCACTTCCACTGGTCGCTCAAACGCAGGAAGATCTTCGCGGTGCTCGATCCACAAAGGCGAGTCGCCGTCACCGTACTGTACCGAGTCACTCATCGCTCAAGCTCACGCGCTCCTTGCTGAATAGGCCAAAGGACCCGGTGCTGCCAAATCCTCAGGTTTCGACGTCTTCTTGCCAGGCGCAAAAAAGGGACAGGTAGTCACTAGATTCCCGCCAGAGCCCAGCGGCTACCTCCACCTTGGCCACACAAAGGCGGCTATTCTGAACAGCTACTTTGCCAAAGAGTACGAAGGTCGTCTGATTGTACGCTTCGATGATACGAACCCGAGCAAAGAGAAGGTGCGTTGCCTGCACACAAGCGACTCATGTAGACTCGCCCGACCCTAGCATCTGCTGACCCTGCTTTGCGCAGACCGAATTCCAAGATGCCATCATCGAGGATCTGGCCCTGCTTGGCATCAAGCCTGACAGTACAAGTCACACGTCAGACTACTTTGACCACATCTACAAGCTAGCCATCCAGCTCATCAAGCAGGGTGATGCATACGCTGATGACACGCTGCAAGAAGAAGTGAGTGACCCGCCGAACAATGTCAGAGCTTCTGCAAGAGAGTATTCTGACCCGCTCGGTGCTTGTTGATAGATGCGCGCGCAACGAATGGACGGCATCGCATCTGCCAGGAGGAACGAGTCCATCGAGGACAATTTGGCTCGATTTGCTGACATGAGCTCTGGTTCGGAGGAGGGACGCAAGTGGTGTTTGAGAGCCAAAATGAGCGTGGATGATCCTAACAAGGCTCTGCGCGACCCAGTCATCTACCGCTGCAACGTGGAGGTGTCGCATCACCGCACCGGGTGCGCTATGCTAGGAGTGGTCCCTGCGCGCCAAAGTTGCACGTGCTGACCATGCATGAGCTTCTTCCTCTTCCCAGAACGACCTGGAAAGTCTATCCAACGTACGACTTTGCGTGTCCGGTCGTTGATGCTCTCGAAGGCATCACTCACGCCCTGCGTACCAACGAGTACAGAGACAGGAACCCGCAATACGCGTGGATGCTGGAAAAGCTAAAGTTGCGAAACGTGGAAATTTGGGACTTTGGGAGATTGAATTTCGTCTACACCCTGTTGTCGAAGCGCAAATTGCAGTGGTTCGTCGATCGTGGTATCGTCACTGGCTGGGACGACCCCCGATTCCCAACTGTCAGAGGTGAGTGTTTCTGCACACTTGCTGCCGCATGCACGTGACTGATGCCTGCTGCTCGTCTTGAAAGGCGTGCGTCGTCGCGGAATGACTATCGAGAACATGCACAACTTCATCCTCGCTACCGGTCCTTCGCAAAACGTCATCAACATGGAATGGGACTCGATCTGGGCAGGCAACAAGCGCATCATCGACCCCATCGTCCCGCGCTTCACCGCCCTCGAGACCAAGGACCTGTGAGTGTGACTCAACTCGAATTACGACTTTGGGCGCTGCTGACCCATCCTTTACTGCCTTTAGTGTCAAATGCACAATCTCGGGTATTTCTGGAGTTTCCGAGAAGGTTTTGCCTCGACACAAGAAGAACGCTGAGCTGGGCACGAAGACGACGGTGTTTGGTCCGAACTGCTTCATCGAGCAAGTCGATGCGGCAAGCTTCAAGGACAATGAAGAGGTGAGAATGGCTGCGCCTGATCGAATCAGCCGCTTTAAAGCGCTACCAAAGCTCACGCCGACGACATTTTGCGCGCAGATCACCCTAATGGACTGGGGCAATGTGTATGTGAGGTCAAAGAAGCTGGCTGAGGATGGCTCCGTTGCATCCCTCGAGATGGAAGCCCACCTCGACGGGGACTTTAAGAAGACGGAAAAGAAAGTGACGTGGCTGGCCGATGCGCCTGTCGGCGCCACGCCGCGCTCCGGCAGGTTGACGGAAGTGCTGCTTTTGGACTATGACTATCTCATCACCAAGAAGAAGCTGGAGGAGGAGGACGAGTTTGAAAAGTTCGTCACGCCCGTCACTCAATTCGAGACGCTCGCTATTGCGGACAGTAATGTTTCCGAGCTAGCTGAAGGGCAGAGCATCCAGTTTGAGAGAAAGGGATACTATATTCTGGACAAGGCGCAGGGTAAAGATGGCAAGAGGGAATTTATCAGGATTCCGGATGGACGTGAAGCTACTGCGCAGAGCAAGAATGCTGCGGATGATGGAGGTACAGAGGGAAGAAAAGCTGCTGCACAAGCTGCCAGAGCCAAAGCCAAGGACCAGAATAGCCAATCGGATGCTGCTGGCTCTGCATCTGCCTCAAAGAAGCCGTCAAAATCGACCGCAAAGGATTCGACCGGCGCTGCTCCTTTCAGGGAGGCAGACGCTGCGGTGGGGTCCTCCAACATGTACCCCATCAAGCCTTCCCTCGAGGATGTCGAGATCGAGCCTGATACGTCCAAGATGTACAAGATGAAGCCTGTCATCTAAAGATGTAGTGCGCTCGCGACAATAAAGGTGATAAGAGGGACTACCCGCCCTCGTGCCAAAAGAATCACATTGCATTGCATCGAAACGGCCTTCTCCTCGGACTTCACCTGGGCAATGTCTGATTGGCAGGTATTGTCGCTTTGTTGATGAGCGAGAGCGTGCTGATCCTCTTTGGATTATGGATGGACGAGAAGCAAGTGATGAGGCAAAAGAGCCTTTCTCAACGTCTATAGCCACGCACGCACGAGTCGCATTACAGATCCCAGTCCAGCTCCGCATCCTCCTCCTCCTGCGTCTTGGCGCTTGGCCGCCTATCTGTCGGAGCACCGAGCATTCCGGTCCCTCTGCCCGTGGCATTCCTGATACTCTTTGCCTTCGTCTTGTTCTCCTCGCTTGAATCGTCCGAATCGGAAGTGTCTTCCTCTCGCCCTTGTGCGGGCTGCGAGGATAGGGGTGGTCGGTCCAATGCGCCCACTGCTGTAAGGACCAGCTCAATGTCTGAAGATTGTAGGAAAAGGGGGCAACCAAACATGGAACATGAGCTTCGAGCGGACAATGCAAAAGTGACGGGCGATACTAGAGAGCAAAGAAGAAAACCCACCCTCCAATTTGGTGTCCATCCCACTCAGACCAATCTCGGGTCTAAGACCTATCATTTGCCTGTGCAGCTCCCCATTCCTGTAGATCAACAATGTGGGCAGATTCTTGTCCGGATAATTGGGTATGCACTGTCGAAATTGAGATTCAAGAGCAACGTCCTCTCTCTCAGCGAGCGGTAAGTAGCGGAAGACGGGCTGAGATTTTACTCACCTTGGCCCCGACTATGCTCACGAATTTTGTCGCTGGATACCTCTCGGCTAATGTGTTGAGGTAGCCCTTCAAGAGCTCGCATGTTGGCATCCTGTCCAATGAGGCCCAAACAGCAGAAGGCTTAGCGCTTGCAAGCCTTGTGAAGATTGCAAGGCTCCTGCGACAGGCTTGAAGTAGCCTGGTTCGGCATTCACTCACCCGTCCTTGTAGAGGAAGCAAACCACTCCGGTGCCTTTTCTTTTCGCCGGATCTCCTTGCGCACTGTTGCCATTCAAGCCGCGTCCAATCTGTTCGCGCTCTTCCTCATCGCCTTCATCCTCGTCACTCTGCTCTTCATCGATCTCGACCTTGCTAGCCTCGGTGATTTCCCTCGTATAATCCGGTCTCTGAATCGGATAGACTCTGCCAAATCTATTCCTTTTCTTCTGTCTCAACTCTGCCTTTGCCCTTTGACGAAGGATGAATTGAATCTCTTCCACTTGCTGAGCATCGTGAGAGTCCAGAGCGGTGTCTAGATGATGTTGAAGAGAGTGGATGGGAAGAGCGTGCAGCTTCGCGTTTCGTCGTTCGGACTCGCTAGGTAATTCGGGCGAGGGAGAGCGCGAAGGAGGTTTAGGCGGGATGATGCCATGCTTGCGTAGAGCATCGTGACTTTGTGCCAGACGCGCATCGGAGCAATGAAGAAGCGCAAAGATCGTGTATCGCTCAGCTTGAACAGGGGCCCGCTCGTGTGCCAAACTGAGCAATCGCTCCCACTTACAATTCGGTATCTTGCGTAGGATCCACGTCGGCATACATCTTGGCAAAGTGCGCGCGCTCTGTGCTCTGTGACCCACCAAGCAGCGAGGTTGCTCAGTGAGTATCGAAGAAAGAGGACAAAAGCGGCTGCTTTGGACTGTGGATAGGTGTTAGAGCCAGAAGTGGAGGTGTGAAGAAGCTGTTCGAAGGCCCATGCCTGCATGTATGCTTTGGTGGAAGTCGTGGTGTGCATCAGGTTCGGTTCGGTTGCGCTCCTTTCGTGCGAGAAACGTGAGTGCAAGTCCGTGCGCAGTCATACAGTAGTCATGCCAGGCGCAGGCAGAGTCGTGAGTCTGAGTGATGGATCGTTGTCACTGCACACCGCGGCACCGCGCATGCAAGCACGGAGCACTCGATCGATCTCCGACTCAACTGCTGGACTCGTGAGTTGCGACTTTCAACTTCTTTCGCAGGTGCGTGCTCTTGTCTTGCCTCCACACTATCCCATCAAGCGCGATCACCGTGACAATGCCACTGGCGATTTGAGAGCTCCACACACGCATTGCCCAAGACTTCTCTCTCCACTTACCCCCGCTCGCGAGTCGTAAGCTGGCCACTATAAATCGAGAATAGACCGGGAAGCTCACAGCGGCAAGCTGTTGGGCCCATCGTCTGGACGTACGAGTTAGGGAAGCACGTACGTCGATTGTCAGACGCCGCCGTTCGCGAGAGTCGCATCCTTCTCGTCGCGTCAGGGAACACTGCAGAGCTAGTGTCAGCAAGCGACTCCCCGTTCGACCAGCATGGCATCCACACTGGGATCTTTGCTCTACATCTCCCTCTTGCTGGTCAACGCCATTGCGATTTTGAACGAGGAGCGGTTCTTGGCCAGAGGTGAGTGGAGACGTGCATTTGTTGTGCTTGCGTGTGATAAGTGGTCGAGGTCATGGCAAGTCATGGGCCGGTCTGAGCTCGGTGGTCGATTCGTGCGTTGAGGGAGCGGGTTGCCCATCCTTCCGTCTGCACAAGGGCCACTTCTGCCGCAGAGCGGGCTGTCGCTTTACTCGCGTCCTGTCTCGTTGCAGAGAGCAGAGGGGCACACGATGGATGACCCACGACAAACTCCAACACATGGATGAGATGCGATGCGAAGCTGACCATGCGGATCTCTTCTCATCGCGACATTGCGGCATAGTGGGTTGGTCCACAGTGTCCACACAACCGAACAGCGCAGCAGCTTTCGACCCTGCAGGATTCAATGGGCAACAATTAGGCTCAGAAGGACCGGGCGTCAAGGCGAGGCTGATCAGTCTCATAGGAGCTGTGAGGATGTTGTTGAGGGGTAAGTGTGATGGCGTTTTTGCGTCAAGCGAGATGAAGCTCGCGGCTCCACGCTACCGCTTGGCTCGGACTGATACGGAAGCCCTGACAGAATTTTGCCCGCCTCTACAACGTTCTCAGTGCCGCTAATCGCTCTCAACATCGTTGTGATTATCTACGAATTGCTCCTGGGCTAGCGATTGTACGTGCTCTGGCAGCGCATACATCCCCCTTTCGAGCACCTCGTCGAGTCGGCTGCGGCGCAAAAAGAAAAACGAACGACATGTACACGTTTGCATATCTCAGATTTAGAAGGGTGGTCCGAGCTTCAAGGAAGACAACCTGCGCGACACGGACCCCGCCGTCCCTACAGGACAAAGTCCGGCTTGGAGGCGCAAGCTGGTCCGAGTCTATTGGCGTGAGCCACTCACTAGTCACAATGTATTGTATGTCCAGAATGCTTTAAGCTTTGTCAAGAGGTGTTTCGGATGAGGTCTTCTGATGAAATAAACCCGAAGCAAGGTGTGTCGACACCGCTACAGCTCTACAAGATATGCTGCAGGACTGAGCGGGCCGCTGGACGAAGACAGAGGAGTGTATTGGCGGTGTAATTGCATGATGGCAGTCAAGAGAGTAAAGACTGGGCCGTCGGCGTCGGCGCCGGTGCAAAGTGCGGCGAATAGTGCCCAATATCCAAGCATGTGAATGGGGAACTCTGCCAAAGCCTTGTGAGCGTCCGCACGCAAAAGGCTCTCTTCGATTCTTTAGGAGGGATATGAAATAGAAGGCCGGCTCGGGTGAGGTGTGTGCGCAAGCACAAGTGAGCGGCACAGTCACAGGTCACAGGTCACAGGGACTTGACTGCAGTATCGAGTCTTGAGTCCAGAAATGACGGATGGGAAATTGTGAGAGAGCCACGTGTGCTGCATGCCTGTGCACCCACGTATATCGTAGGCTTAAACAGGATGCATACTGTAACATGCTGCTGCTATTATCATCATCGCTCTTCCGCGCTTTCCGCATTTGCCGCATTTCACGCCTGCGCTTCTCTTCGCCTTTTATTTTTATTTTTAATCATTACCCCGCATTCGTGCAGCTGCTGGGCATCGGCCATTCGAGACTTCGCTTCGTTGGCTCTCGCGCTAGGAATTTGAAAGCTTGAGAATCATGTATGTGGGCTATGCGGTGTGAGAGTGGAGGGCGAAGAAGGAGAAGGGATGATTCGAAGAGAGAGAGAGAGAGAGAAAGAGAGAAGAATGGTTCGGTCCGTGTCGGTGTGATGCGATGCAGCAGATGAAGGGTCTTTCTTGTTTCTGTGCCTTGCGGCGGATGCAGCTCGTGACTCTCGAGTGGTGACTCACACTTTGCGTATGGTGCTCGGACATCTTCGCGTGGATACACAATTATAACGGCGAGTGTCTGTGCTCACTAACACGGCAAATCTCAGCTCTTTCCTGTAGGTACGCTTCATGCACTTGTGACTCTTCCGGTGGCGACACAATGCGAAGGCCTCGTTTGGAAGGATGGATGTGAGTTCGACATACATGCGCATGAGCTGCTGCGATGCGGGGAAAATCAGCGAGTAGACGCTACCCCATCCCCGTCCCCGTACCCGTACCTGCGGCATTGATGGGGAAAGGCATGCGAGTCGAATGAGTGTGAGTGCCACCCACACTCTCTCACCTTTGCCCCTTGCCTTCTCGCAAGACCGCAAATGTGACTTTTTGTATAAGAGCAAGACACACGGAGAGATTTAGACCGTAATTGTCAGCCCCAACCGCCTCTTCACTCATCCTCCTAACCATCTCCACTAGTTTCCCCCACGCTCACTCCTCCAATCCTCTGTGACCCACCGCATTGCCGCCCTGCTTCGTTGTGCATCAACAGGACACGATGAAGTTTGTTGTCGCTTCCATCATCGCTGCGGCGCTCGGCATCGCCTCCACAACCCACGGCGCACCCACTCTACCAACGTGAGTAAGAGAATGCTCCCCCCCATCTTTTCGCTGCTTTGCACAGAAGATTGTCGTGCTGCTGACCCCACCACGAGTCTCGTTTCATCTGAGCACAGCACCGGACCTCTCCCCAATTCGTACTACTCTCTGCAATACCAAGACAATCTGGTCAAGAATCAACGCAATATAGCCGGTCAACCTTTCGCAAAGTACTTTCGACCCGATCTCTTCCTCTACAAGGAAGCCATCGATGCCGGAAAGCAATCGTTGAACTGCAACACTCAAGCCTTGAAGCAAGATCTTTCGGATATTCGTCGTTTGCAAACGCCCATCACCAACGAACTGCCTGGAGAGAGCGGTTGGTGCTCTTACCCCGATGGTGGAGGCTACGTAGCAAGCAAGACTTACTGGCCAGGCGTGACTGGCGAAATGATCACCTGGTGGTTCTGGTGGCATTCGGCCGCAAGCGTTCGTTATTCCCTCTGGCATCCTTGGGGACACGTCTCCATCGACTCGACCTACAAGGACAGACTGGACAATCCCAATCTCTTGAACCAACAAAAATACATCGGTGCGGTTCATCATATCAACGAAATCATCGGAGATCAATTGCTGCCCATTGATATCCATTTCAAAAATGTCAGCGATATCGGATTGGATCCGACTCAATTGAAGCCCAACGGTATCGTCGCTTCCGCATCCGGCGAGATCTACGCTCAAGGAACGCCGTTGAAGATCGCAAACATGTATCACTTTTGGCACGAAGTTCCCGGCGGTCTGATTTTGCGTTCGCGCTACTTTTTGGGGAACAATGTTCAAGTGCAGATTCCTATTCTGGGTCAATTCCTTCCCATCAACCAGATTGCCGCCTTGCTGGGCATCAAAAACATCATCGCAGTTAGACCTCTTTCTCTGCAGCAATTCTTCCACGACTCGCAGGAGATGACTCATTTGGCTTCCATCCTGCCCGACCTCTTCAAAGAGTACGGTCAGCTCAACAAGTCAGGAGGCACTTTCTAACACTCCCCAAAGCGCTCCAGTCTTCCACACGTCATTCTTCCCCTTCTCCTTTCCTGCTTGCCTCCCCTCCATCCCTCCTGTCTGCCGCTTTGCCCTTCTCGCACTCGCCGGAGCCCCCCTTACACAACCTTTCGACTTCTGTACCTCGATGCTCGTGCGCCACATACCTGGTGCCAAGATGCCAATGGACTTGTTTCACCGTATCGCTTTTGCCACAATGAGCCCTACCTCGAACGGCTCGTGATTACAGTCGTGCATCTCCAGATCATTTGCTTACAGCGTGAGTGCGGGTCATCAACGCTTTCCCATCAGCACACAATCGTGAATTCCTTTTGCATCGCACACGCACGCGCGCGCGCGCACGAAATAACAAGTTGCCATTTTCATTTCATTATCGCTCGTCTACACGATTGCCGGCTTGTAACAAAAGAGCGTGCAGCCCTCGAGTGTCCGATTGGGAATCCCAGCGACTCTGCGCAGCTAGAACGCTACGTCTTGATTCTAGCCTCAAACCTCCTCGCCAAGGCCGCACCCAAAAAGGCGGCAAAAAAGACGGCAGTAATGACTGCCGGTTTCCTGTAATGATCCTTCTTGTCCAGTTTGTACGTCACAAACACATTGCGTCCATGATGGTCCGAGCATGCTTTTCTTTCCAACACCACCGATGGTCGACCGGTCGAGTCGAGGTAGGTGGTGTAGATGGACTGCGCCACGCTGTCCAGCAGGAAAGGCGCGGCGTAGGTAATGTCCCTTGATTCGGCACATTGCGACATGAGCCAAAGCGAGGAATGTGAGCAGGGCTCAGGTGCGGTGTCTAACTCGATCGACAACAGATCTCAACACTCACTTTGCGCCCTCCGGCAGCACAATGGTCGTTCGAGCAGAGTCAACCGCCACATCAGTAATGGGAGTCAAGAATGGTACAGCAACGCTATACCTCTCCTGTCCATCTACCAGCACTCTCTTTCCCCAGCTGCCTTTGGCCAGGTTGAGGTGATAGCCGATACTGAAGGTGAAATTCCAGCCTCCCAGCAGGGGGTAACGAGGTACCAGATCCAAAGAGGAAGCTCTGTGAGCTGCCAATTTGTGAGGAGCTGTATGGATGTACTGAGGAGCGTTTGGTGTAGGTCTAAAGTGACTCGTCGAGATGTTTCCAATCGCATCGACAAAGTAAGCGTCCTTGGCTCCAGGTGGGAGGTGCAAGAGCAGACTGTTGAGCGTATGAGAATTGTCTCGGTTGTACATCTGTGCCATCTGATGTTCTATGCGCGAAAAATGTCCCTTGAGCTTCGGCCCGTCGTTGCGCAGCCAGAGCTGATCGTCGATGGCGAGATTGTCTCCCCAGTGGGAAATCTCGACGTGGCGATCGGCTCGAACCACGCTGATCACTGGCGCGTCGTGCTTGTAGTGGACGGATGCTGCGCGGCGCGACTCGAGAGCTAGAGATGGGCTGTCTGAGAAGGATGGTACCGATATCCAGGGCCCATAGGTGATTGCAGCTCCCGATTTGGTCGCTTCGCTATCGGCATTTTCGGCTTTGGGCGAGCTTCCGGTGGCGGGAGAGATGGAATGCGAAAGGACCTTTGGAGTCGATGTGCTGAGTGGGTCAGGAGGGCTCAATCGTTAGCATGTATGCGTCTAGCTTGCGCACTGTAATGCATCATTCGCGACACCTTGTGCGAGGTACCTTGTCATGACTCACCGAATCTTCGTCCTTGCCTTGTTGGCTCCATAGAATGCGAGCGGCACAGCGTCGCCTGTCCAATGCAAGAACATCTCTTCCTTTTGAGCCACAGCTTTGGGCAAGGGCTCACTCTGATGGAGCGTGACATAGTTGATCTGCAGCACCAGACTAGGGATTGGCTCTTCGGGATGTTGTTTCTGGAAAAATCGAGGCGGCAAATCGATGGAGAAGAGGTGAGGAGTGGAGGTGGGTTGGAAGTGCACACCAGGCGCATTGGTCGCGTTATCCAAGCTGGACAAGCCCGAAGCATCGGGCGACAAGTGTCGCTTGACAGGCAAGATAGCTCTATCGGTGCTCTGCATGCCAGCTCCTAGTTTAGCTGTGCATTCCATCCAACTCAATCCTCTGGCCTTTTCCGCGCTGAGAAGAAAATGGTAAACGGGCGGATCATTGGCGTACAGCTCGGGAGAGTTCAGCTCGACCTCGTGCACTTCTGAGATGCTCGTTGTGCTACCGGACAGATCGATGTTGTGCTGCAGTGACTTGAGCGTGTAGTCCTTGGCGCTCGCACCTCTGACCAGGAGGACGAGTTGGGTGCTCAGGACGGTCAAAAGCAGCAGCATTGCCAGGGTGGCGCGAGCTGAATGAAACTGTGCAGCTCGAAGCGACGTCATCTTGGCGAGATGGGCTGCCTGTACTACCGCGAATATCGGCTTTGCGAAGTGATGATGAAACGCAGGCGGAAGACACCAGTCGTTTCTGTGAAGATGGCAGGTCTCGACATTCGCATGACACGTCGAAGCAGCAGCAGCAGCAGCAGCCTACTCATGACTTGCGTAGCGAAGCTTTCGCAGCCGCGCAACATATACAACCAGCAGCAGCGCGCAAGCGAAAGCCCGTGCGCGGCGTGCAGATCCAAACACGTGATCGTGCAGTCTTGAGTCACGAGTGTCCGCGCACACGAGCACATTCAATCAGTCACGAGTGATTCACAATACGCAGCACGCGAAGCTGCAACACCAACGCTCACGATTTCACAGGCTTGCCTTCTATCCATCGTCTCATCTCACCTCATCTCGGACCGAAGTTGCCGAGGCAGAGCGCCTGCCAGTGATTCGATTTGCCTCTCGGGTCACAATAGTGCAAAGTTACCGTCAGAATCGGGACCAGCGCCAGGACACGCTTGACAGTCGAACTTGCCGTGTTCTCAAGCGCCCGCATCATCAGCCATCCCATCGCGTCAACCTCTCATCGCACCTCCTCAGTTGCAACGCATCACGTCCCATCATGTCATCAGCATACATCGGTCTTCGTGTCCGTCTAACTCTGCATCCTTCTAGCGGCACATCCTCCCATATCCTAGTCGGTAGGATACAAAGCATAGACGCATCTAGCGGCATCCTCAAGCTCTTGCTAGACGATGAGACCACCTTGGAAACAGTGAATCGAAGCAAGATCGCTGGTATCGAAATGATTGGAGAGCGCACGGGCAACGACGGCGCCTCTTCAAGCTCGAACAACCAACTCGCAGCCCCTTCAGGCTCGACGCCCGGCTCTTCCCTCGTCTCCCACAGCCCTACCCCATCGACTCCTCAGACAACATCGAGCAAAGCTTCAAAGAAGAAGGCTGCAAAAGCAGCAGCGGTCGCTGCGGCCACAGCTTCGCTGGGTCATGCTGAGCCTCCCAAAGGTCCCAAGGCCATGTCTGTGACGCCCAAGAAGGAAAGCAAAGCCAAAAATCTCGTCGCGAGTCAGACGCACGCAAATCAAGAGTATGAGGAGGATTTCGACTTTGACAAGGCACTCAAGAGCTTCGACAAGAAGGCGGTCTGGGATCAGATTCGGGTGAGCGTCAGGACCGATGCAGCGCAGCCGCTCAGAGTGCATTCTGTATCGACGCGCAGTTGAGCTGAAAGTGGACGCTCTCTCGTACGCCCATCTAACCGATCTTGCCATCAGGCATCAGATCAGACGGACCCTTCGCTGCGTCTGCACGCGCACAACAGAGCAACAGCAGCGGCAGCATGTAAAAGCTCTTCGCCTGCTCCTTTCATCGGCAGCGCGCCCGACTTGGACGCTCTAACGCTGTCATCACGGGGTCGGATTGCAGCCGCTCGGAATCCGCAAGAAAAGCTGAGAGCTGACGAGAACGTGTTGAGTCCCAGTCCTCCGCCAGATTCCGAACGACAATCATCGCATGTCAATGGTAGCGGGACACACGCTAGTGATGGAATTGTTGGAGGGAGGGAACAAGAAGTGCAAGGCAGATTGGAGCTGCTTTCTGCCTTGACGGGCGTTGATATTGCACCAGCCAGACCTGCAGAAGATCAAGCTGCAGAGGCCCTGCGGCACAATGGTAGCGGCAGCAATTCAACGTACGATCTCACGCTCTACACCTCCCCATTGGCTCGAACAAAGCACCTTTCTCAAGCCCGCGCCTCCTCCGCCTCCTCGACAACCAATGCAGGCAACCTGACCGTCCGTCTCTCTGGAACGCTGAGCAAGCTTCGATACAACGGTCCCGTGCCGTCCGCCTCGGATCAGAAGCTGATCGCAGCATTGCCCGAAAAGTATGCGAAACCTCTAGGACTCGGAGGCACGGAGCGGGCGGGAGCTTTTGTGAAGAGGTTGGGAGAGTGGGTCGCTGCGAGCGCTGCGGGTATTGCGACGAGCGTCGCGACTGAAGAGACGAACACGGCGGAATAAATGGGAGGGTCGCTGCTTTGACGTTGAGAAAGGAAAACGCGGCGAGCAAAATTGGGCCCGCCAAGTCGTAAAGAGGCTGGACAATGATTAGGACGAAAAAGGATGGCAAGAACTTTGAAAAGGCTCTGCTGAGGATCGTAGGCGGCGGGTGGGACTGGGCGAGAAGATGACGGAAGAGTAAGGAAAGGTAGGACATCCAAGAATTCACCGCTCAAATGCTCAGAAGGACGTTGCAGGATCGGATGCGAGGAGTGCAGGAAAGGAGGGTGTGGGGGGGAAGGAGGGGCTGGGAGGACGGACACGTAGTTGCAACCTCCGGCCCTTGCAGGTTGCCAATATCTTGCAAAGGAATGTCATGCGGTGAAGAGAGAGCTCGATCCTGGTCTCATGCCGGCGCCAGTGTGATCCTATGCTATTCCAACGCAGCTTTCGAAGCGACCAGGACTCAACTTTCTCCGTGCCGAGAGACTTTCGCTCCCTTGGGGAAAACGCGGCTTGCTGCTTGTCGGTCAGCGCGCACTTCACAAGCGGGAGCCTGAAACAAATGATCCACACGAAAATCCTCTCGATCGAGCTGTGCTCAGCAAGCTAAAAGAACAAAAAAATGACGAGACGTACGAGGGTGCAGGTCTACAGGCGGGTGCGCGAAGCGAAAAAGTCTGCAGAGTGGGAAGAGCGGTGACAAGCAAGAAGCAGTGTGGATGGTATCAGAGCTGTACTGGCCAGCCACGTTCTGTCCATCTGGACGCTCCTCCCGCCACAAAGCTGGCCTGGAAGCCGCGATGTCTGAGGATGGAAGTGGCGATGCGCGAAGCGCCTCCATCTTGACAGACGACCAGAATTTGTGCTGCTGGTTGATCTTGCGAATCGACGCTGCTCAAGATCTCTAGACCTCGCGGATTGTTGGGCTCAAAGAGCGAATCGAGCTCTTTCCACTGTTCAGCGAGCAGATGGGGGTCGCTGAACGGATCTGTAGAAGTTTCGCTAACGTGGTGCAGCTCGACAGATGTGGCTTGAAAGAATCTGCAAGACTTGACATTGCATCCTCTCAGGTCGAGAAGCTTGACGCCTTTGCGAAGCGTGGCTATGCTGCTCCTCTCGGGAGACGTGCCAGCTGTGGAAGTAGCACTGGAGGATTTTGACGCTCTAGAGCCTGCGTCTGATGCGGAGGAAGAAGAAAAGAGGGAGGATGTGCTGCTCTCTACGCTCATGTCGCTCGGTGTGGCCGAAGGACGACGCAAATCGGCGAGTCGATCAGCAAGCTCTTCAGCGGAAGGGGATCCGCTCGTCGACGTCGACCTGCTGTGCTCCTCATTGCTGCTAGCTTCGCACTGCTCCAGCTTGTAAGTATAGGCCAGCTCGAAGGCCTTGTAAGGCTGCAGCTCCCACGCATCGTCGTAACGGTACAAGTCGACACCAATGAGAACGTCGTTCTGAATCGGATGAAAAGCTTCTGTCGGCAGCTTGGAAAAGTATTCGTCGATGTACTGGTAAGGTCCATCGCAAGCGATGAAAGCTGCGTGGATGGGTGCTCCGGGCTGCTTGCGCAGAGCGTCTAGGTCACCGTGAACCTCGATGTGTCTTCGAAGGTGCTGGAACAGCCCTTGCAAGTTGAACCCGGACGAAGGACCGCACATCAATCCCGTTCTGCAAAGCTCGATGGATCGCGCATAAGAGTCGGCAGATCCGACCCATTCCATTGCGTCGATCGCGTCTCTCCATGGGAATTCTACTGGAGCCAAAAGAGCTTCTGATCGAGGCCCTGGAACTCGATCGCCAGGTGCTGTGGTCACACCGATGCGTTTCACCGTCGGCAAAAGCTTCTTGAGAGCCAAACCCGTTCCCGTCATGGTTCCAGCCGTACCCATTCCAGCAACGAAAATATCCATCTCGGGCAGCTGCTTGGCCAATTGAGGTCCCGTCCATCGCATATGGCTTTCGTAGTTGGCCGGGTTGGCATACTGGTCAGGATTAAAGGACCCTTCTTCTTTACCCCGTAGCAGCGCTTTGTAGATACCGCCGCGCGGATCCAAAGGTTCAGGCTGCGACGGGCCTCCAAAGAGATGCAACTTGAGTCCAAAGAAGCGCATCAGCTTCAACTTTGCGTCCGAAGTCTTGTTGGAGAGATAGGCAGAGACATCATGCACGCCCATGATGCGCGCCAAGATGCTCAACGAAATGACGGTGCTGCCGCTAGAGTATTCGACGATTCGAGAAACCTTTTCCGAGCCTTCTTTTCGACGCGAGATCTGGGCCGCGCTTTGTCCTTCGAGCGCAAACCCCGCATCGATTCCGCCTTGCTGCAACATGTTGAGCGCCGGTAAGGATTTGACGTTGCCAGCGGGCAAAGCGCTGTGAAGCTTGACGTAGACGTGAACATTGTGAGAGCGCAGGAAGGGATTCAACGATTCTGGTAGCTCCACGAGCGGTGTAGGCGGGTTCTGTTCAGGGTCGTAGAACTGCGGGAACGAAGATGGCATCAAGTTACTTCGTTGTCCTACGTGTGGCGAGTTTGGGCGCTCAGACTCACATCATGGAGAGACCGCTCGCCGCGAAAGACATTGTTAGGAGCAGGTGTCATGGTGTGAAGGGCGTGGTAGTTACTCGCCGGTAATTTCTTCAAGCTGACTTGTGTGAGTCGAAGATTTCCTTTGTCGCGGAGGCAACTCTTACGAGTAGGAGCGACTTGTCGCGGACTTCAGAAACCTTCCTTTTGAGGTCGACTGGGGAACCAATCGACGGTCAAGTCGGTCCGACGCAAAGAATTTTTGCTTGTCTAAACATTCGCAGATGAGCACGTCACTGCTGCTAGCTCGAAGAAGATCAAGCGAAGAATGCGCCGGTCAGCAGATGTTGCAAAACCCCCACCGCACCAGTGAAGCGAGAGCTGTTGAGCAAGTTTAGCCCCCTTGGGCACCGTGCACGCCCTTGGACCATGAGTCTTGAGTGCAGATCCGCCTTCACACGTCCAGAATTTTGGACGCTACAAGCTGCAGACGCCTGTCAAGTCCTCATTCGTCGTGAACTTTGTTCGTAAATGTACCGCTGCAGCATTGCTGGTGTAAAAGCAGTGCCTAGAGTGGGAAGCTAGGGAGGTGCCATTGAAACGCCATGCTTGGCAAGCTTGCTCAGATGCCATCGAGCGATTGTTTGTTGCGAACGCGCAATGTGCCAAGCTAGCACATCAATCTAAGTCTGTGTAGCGCAAGCAGGAGCATTGGTGCCCTTGAAGTGCCGTCGAACAGCCTCGAGGCGGGCACAGCTACTCAACGGTGGTCCTCGTCACGATTGCGAATCCGTAAGCAGAAAGCAACGGCGCACCGCTATGAACGTACTCCTGCCGCTGCGTCGTCTAGCCAACGGCGCGTTTCTGTTCGCGGTGCAGGTCAAGCTGGGATTCCCCATGTTGCCACGACTAGATGCCTCACAAGGGTCAGCGGAACATGAGCGAGTAACGTTCTCGCAGCAGTCGTCGCCAGGATGGGTCTTGAAGAAAAGTGACGTGATGGCGTGAATGTCTGATCGCAAAGGCGCGAGAGCACTTGCAGCCAGAAAGGCTCCGAGATGATCTTGGTGAGCGCTGCAGAGCGTGGCTCGCGTTTGCGTCTGCGTTTGCGTTTTGCGCTTGTTCAACTTGCGCCTTCCCACTCACACTCACACTGTCACTGCCACTGTAATGCCAAGTCTGCTTTGGCACTGTACAAGGGCCGCATGACCCGCAAGCTTGCCTCAAGTTTGCCAGCATAGCGACGGGAGCACAAGCTTAAGGAGTACCTTACCCGTTCTCGCAGTGACATCGAACCTCAAATCGGCGCTACTGTGCGAGCACAACTGGTGCGCAAAGGGGCCGGCGGATGCTGGCAAGAAGATGTCCACGCTTTGTTTGCCAAGAAGAGTCAACGTGGACGGCCATGGGGGTCGATCCTCGAATAGCGCATCTTTGCCCTCATGGTCGATGCAGAGTTGATGGGCTCGTC